TTTTGTTTTTAGTTAATTGTATTTTGCTGAGAGATTATGATTTGAATCTATGTAGTTATTTGAAGAAGCCATCAGGAACCGAGTGAGTCCGAATACGTTCCTATGCAACACGATCATCTCGAAGCTATCGAAAGCCCGACGATCGAAGGAAGCTTTAGAAGTATTCGAATTCATGAAGCAATCGAATGTGGCGCGGAACTCGGTGACGTTTGGGGCGATCATCAATGCGTGCAGTAAGACTGGAGACGAAGTTCGGGCCGAGGAACTGTTCCGAGAGATGCTGGTCTCGAAAAGCTTTACAGCTAGAATCCCTCCCTTCAATACGATGATCCAATTGTTCACTCAACACGTCAAACAACCTAATCGCCAGAAAGTCTTGTATTATTACGGTCTAATGAAGAAGTATCGTTTGGCTCCGTCTGATCATAGTAAGTTCTTTTTTATATATATTATTATTGGGAAATTGGATTTTGACAACTGATGATATTCAATTGGATGGATGGAAAACAAAACAAAAAATGATAGCATACAACTTGTTGATGCAAGCATATGGAATGATTGAACCATGTGATCCGAACGAGATGGAACGGATCTTTGAACAGGCCTGTAAGGACCCAAAAGTCCGGATCAGCGGGGCGCATTGGTCGACGCTACTGAACGTTCGGGGATGCATCCAAAAAGATCTGGCAGGGGCGATCTCACTCTTTGAGCGAATCGGACGAGAGCCAGTCAGTGAAAACCAACACCAACTAGCACCCCCACCAGGAAACAATCAACAGACAAAAGAGCAATCGAGCTCATCCAAGGGAGGCGTGATGAAGCTCCCGGATGCGGTGTGTTATGAGGCGCTCTTCAACGTCTTCCTGGTCTTCAAACGCGCCGATCTGTTGCCGCGGTATCTCGAACGAATGAAGGATGAAAAAGTGCACATGACGGCATATGTGGTGAATACTCTGATGAAGGTCTATGCCTCGGCCGGAGACATCCAGAAGGCGAGAGATCTCTTCGAGTCCTTAGTTGACCCCGCGCCGGGCCATGCTGGGCTCTATAATCATCCCAATTCTCCTCATGGATCTAACGGTAGTAATGGGACAGGCATCGAGATGGGTGATGATAGGATCTATAGGGAACCCTCGTGCTATGAAACTATCATCCGAATCGAATTCGGCGCAGGTCATCTGCAGAACGTTAAGGCGCTGCTCGATCGCTTGATCGAACGAGAATACCCCGTCGCTATCGTTAATCGGATCAAAAAAATCGTTAATCTTTAATTAATTTCTTTCTTCATATCTTGTTTTTTTTTGGGTAGTTTTCATTTGTTTCATTTTCTTGGTGCGGAGGCGCTTTTTTTTTTCTTTCTTGGTTTCTTGTTGGTTTTTTTTTTTTTTTTTTTGATTTGATTTGATTTGATTTTTTTTTGTGGGTCTTGTCGTTTTTTTTTTTTTTTTGTTGTTCTCGTTGTCCAACACATAGAGTGATTCGTGGTTTTTCTTCTTCTTCTTCAAACAATCGAACTATGTTCTCATGTGTACACTATCACTACCCCAACTCCCTACTCAGTAATATACTAAATTAATTTTAAACCCCTCCGGAGTGTTTTATGAAGACAAGAATCCTCAACTCGACTACTTAATATTTTTAAATACATAGATGGAGAAACTACCGACTGAAATCCTCGAACTCATCCTCCAACAGATCCCCAACTCAGCACTAGAAACAACCACCAAGAACCTCCGCAAAACACTGCCCAACAACGACAGCAACGACCTACTCCTACTCCAACACCAGTTCAAACATCTCACCATCACCAACCAAGAAGAGCTCAGCCAACTCATCCGAGCCGCAGATGACCCAGACCATCAACCCCTCATCAAGAACTTCACCCAGTCCATCTCCTCCCTCGCTTGGAGATACAGAGATAACAATCTGCTCGTCAATCTGATCAACCAGATCGCCAAAGCCTCAGATTCGCTTAGAATCCTCAGACTCAGAATCGGCCCGCTCTTCGCTCCCGAACAGCTCGACGAACTCTTCCTCTCTAACTTGCCGACTCTTCAATTTATCGATCTTCGGTTCAATCAAAATCTTTCGAGAAGATCTTGTAAGTTATCTCAGTCACCCACTCAAATTATTATTTTCACTGATTTACTGAAATCATGGTAACATTGAAACAGATGAACCGTTCTTAAAAGGCGCCTATTTCGATTCGAGCATCGACCTGATATCCAAATGGCCCGAGACGCGGACGTTCAGAAGTCTTTCGTTCGTCCAAGATCCGCCCCCACAGCGGGAAGAGGGGGCATACTCGAACAACCGGGGGATAGCGCAGCCGATCATCCTATTCCGATTCTGGTGTCTGACCAAGCTGTCGACCTCAGCGATCGGCCAACATCTGAGACACTTACGGGTCCGGATCCCGGGCCGGAATGTGGCGACCTCTTTTCTGGATAATCCGGAGGCATCAGCCTCCGACGAGTCGATCAGAGTGGGCAGACAGACCTGTAAGCTGCCGCGACCGCCGTTCCCGAGCTTGAAGCTCTTGGACCTCTCGACGACGATCCTGTTGCCTTCTTCAATCTCCGTCACCTTGGTAGGCGCCCTCCTCCGTCGGCTCCCCTCGCTCACTCATCTCCTCCTCGATCGCTCCCAGCTCCTCATCCCTCCCCGCTTCTTGGCCGACGTCGAGCGCGTCAAAGACGAGCTTCATAACCTCGGCTCCGTCGTCGCTGCCGCCGGTGTCCCCAGAGCTAACGAGGCTCAGAAAGTTTGGAATAGACTCTATAAGTGCTATGAGACCGAACTCGAGGCGCTTCTTGTTCCGCCGTCGAGATTTGCGTCTCAGCCTGATACTCCTCCTGCTCCGCCGATCCTTAACCCATCCACTTCTTCTTCTTCGACTACTACTAATGGTACTAGACGGAAAGGAAGAAGCGCTTATGCCAGTGCCCCTCGCTGGAAATCTACCCCAACTACTGCTCAAACTTCCACTTCAACAGGATCGACTACTCCCGCGAGTCCCTTTGACTCGTGTTCGAAGCGGTCGATAAGACGGAAGTTGATCGCCCAACGAATGCCGGACAAAGTGACGATCCTGCCCGGCCTATCTAACCTCATCTCGCTTTCCTGTGGAACCGATCTCCCGTCTAACGATCCTTTCGACCCAGACGACCAGAATGCTCAGCATGATCAGGAGACGGGGGAGCAGGAGGAGAAGCAGGGGTATGAGGAACGGACAAGGAGCGAGTGGAAGGAATGCTTCGAGACCGGATGGGCTCTCGGATGTCGCAAAGTCCAGGACGCGCTCACCGAGAAACTGCTCTCACATTCCAGAGCTCTGTTGGTTTGGGAAAAGAAACTCGAGAAGATCCGGCGTGATGGGAATCGGCCGAAGACTCAGACACAGATGAAGAGCATAATAAAGACCAAGACAAGGACACGCAAAAAGGAGGATGAGGCGAAGGGGAAGCAGAAAGAAAAGCCAACAAAGTCGAAGACGAATAACCAGGTTGGAAAAGAAAATGAAGATGATGATGATGAAGATCGAGATTCTGAAGATGAGGATCAAGATTCCGAAGAAGATTCCTCAGAAGAAGAGAGTCATGAACAGATCGTGCGACGATGTGAGGCGAATCGGCCGGTGCTACTGATCCACGAAACCGACCCGCTCCGAGGGCTTCTAGTCCGGCCCACTGACACCGACAGGTGCCTAGATCTAGTGGAAGAAGAAGACGAAGAAGCTCACACGAGCATCTTCGGCCACTTCCTGCGCACCCAACATCTTGTCGAAGTCACACAGACCAGGAATGGTCAGTTCTTAGAAGAATCGGAGATGGGGGTTCAGATTGGAGAGAAAGCGACGAGGCCTCCCAAGTTTTGTTCGATCAACGATTGCGACGAGGTTGGCAGGGTAGTATATGATGATGATAGGGGGTGGAGTGGGGCCCGGGTGAATCTGTTCGACTTCAACAACCCCTTCGCCCGGCCCGACCGTCCCCATGAGCCCCTGCTTCACCACCTCTCCCTCGCCCATAAGGAGGCCCTCCAAAACAGTCCCGTCTGGCCCCGCTTCCACAACCTCGCTTTGTCCCGGCTTCCTCTCGATCAACTAGATGCTCTCGCGCCCCTTGATCATCATCTTCTTCAGGACTCGCATCTCCCTGCGTCGTCTCATCCCCTCAATTGTGGGCATCTCGTCGCTAGGAAAATTTGGGATATTGATTCTTGGTAACTTTTCTCTCTCTCTTTTTTTTGAATATATATTTTTATATGTTGAGGGACTTCAAATCACACCATCCACCGAACCCTAAATGATCACCTTTCCCGATTGGAGATCCCAGGCAAGCAGCAGTTCTCATGGTTCACCATCAAACCTGTTTTTTTTTTTTTTGAGATCTAATAGTATCAAGACTTGATTGAGAAGGGGTTGATGAGAGAGCATTGGACGAAGGAAGGAGTGGACATGGGCGACAGCGGATGAGAGCTAGTGAGATGCTGATGGCCGGGTTAATAGAGGGAGGTGGATAATCAAAGTTGAGCAGACAAAAGAGAGGCAATGAAGAAGAGGAGTGAGTGTGTGTGTGGGCTGGTATATGCGGATGGACAGCAATATGGGATGATGGATGAGTTTTGCAGTGATCAAAGCTTGCAAGGTACAAAGGGGTTGCAGTTGCACTGTCCTGCCTGGGCGCTTGCTTCATGCTTGGCAGATAAGGTGTGCTGGAACTTGAGAGTGCAGTGCCATAAGAAAAAAAAAAAAAGAAAAAACAAGAGGGAGGGCTGCAGATGTCTCTGGGGTTAAGGTGTATCCAGACATCCTGCAACAGCCTCAGGTGTCACAGAGTCTGTCTGGTGATGGATACAGGCATGAGCAGTCATTGGCAAAAGATTTGTATCTGATCAATGGGACAGTCATGGGTAGACAGTGAAAAGTGGCTGCTTGTTTTGGAATCCAGGGTTGAGTTTAAACTGGTACATTAGGGGGTATCAAATATAGGAAATCCACCATCAGAAACCAGTCACTTTTCCAAAAACTTTTTTTGCATAAATGGGCCCCAAAAGGGCTTAAATGGATAACCAACATGTTTAAAAAAGGGTGGATTTTTTCAAACCAGTCAATTAAATAATGGTGGATTTGGTTATATTTGATACCCCCTATTATGTATTTAAAAGTTTAATTCGATTCAAATTCAATTTTGAACGTGCATCATCCGCAGGCCTTGTCTTCACTTCAAATCATCATCAATCATTCACATTCCCCTTCGCTCAACTATTTGCCAATTGCTTATTCGAACCACAACATCAACCCCAGGTCAACATGAGATGGCCGGCTGGAAGGGTTTCCTTCCAGCCGGCAAGGTACATGTACCTTGTCAACTGGAAGGAAATCTTTCCGGTCAACAAGGTAAAATCCTTCCAGTGGCAAGATACATGTGCACCTTGCCGGCTGGAAGGGTTTCCTTCCAGCCAGCGAGGTACATGTGTACCTTGCCGGCTGGAAGGGTTTCCTTCCAGCCAGCAAGGTACATGTGTACCTTGCCGGCTGGAAGGCTGCCACCCATTTAAAGGGCGGGTATCCGTGGATACCCAATTGGATATCTGCTTCCGGGGAGATATCCGGATGGTGCGGGGACATCTCTACTTAGGATGACCCTCCATCCCTCTCCCAACCCCTGGGGTAAGCCATTCCTTTTCAATTGAAGTCACAGGGTAGTTCCATTCATTTATGTCAACACACTGACCTCAGTTTCCATTTACATAGGTCTGATAGGATCTTTCTGCATTTCTACTGGTAGCAGTTGCCTGAGTTTTTCTTCCAGTGATACAGGCTTTCATGTGTATACTTGGGGTGAGTTTAGGTAAAATTCCACCAAAAATTGAGGAAATGCCCTCCAACTGCGGCCCAGGGAATCCTTGGTTTTGGTGTGTTCTCACTCAATTCTGACCAATGTTCATGCAAATAATATCAATTTAATGCATACCATTTGATCCAACAAATCTCAAATTCAATCATATCATTTTCACATGTAACATCTCAAGAAAAGTACTAAAAATTTATGCATTTACATTACTCACCTATGTTGGGAGCCTGGAGGCTGCTGGAATGATGGTCATATGAGTATGTAATCAATGCCCTCAACAATAATGAAACTTGTGCCAAGTTTAGTAAGCAATCAAACCAGACTGAAAATGAGACTGAAAATGAGACTGAATTTTATATCAATATTTTGAAGTCTCTGACTTGCCACAAAAAGAAAAAAAAAAAAAGCTTTGTGCCATCAATATTCTCCCACAAATTTTTTGATTATCCCATGTGGCACAAATCCAAGAATCCATCTACTGGTCAAACCACCAAACCAACAAACTGTTTAAATTCAAATCTTCTGATGCAATCATTATTGTGGTGTATTTTTTGGGGTGCTGTTCAAGCTCAAACAGAATTTCCTGATCCCAAAATTGAAAAGGATTGTTGTTTTTTTCATCCAGATCCAAGCCAAGTAGGAGTAGGGAAAAGTTTCCAAAATCAACTTTCCAATAAACGTTTAAATGTTCATCAAGAGTTGTCTGTCTCTGATCAACCCCTTTCCGATTCCCCTTTGGAATTTCATGTTAAGAATGTTCAAGGTAGGATATAGACCACTAAGTTCAGACTTTGTGTTTTCTTTTCTGAAGGCATGATTCTCTGATCTTTGGGGATCTCTTTGATTCAGTGAATTCAGGTCTAGATCTCATTTCAACTCCAAAGGTCCTGAAAAGACAAAAGACACTCAATCACGAATATGGTGGAAGCAGTTTGAAGCCCATTTTACCTGAAAATCATCCTTTACCTTTGGACATCACTCATAATAATGTGTGCCCAGATATCAGGTTTCAAGGTAGGAAGGACTATATTGAATCAATGGAAAATCCTGGTAGCTTTTCCTCAATGATAAATTAATGTGTGGTTTCACCTATTTTTAAATGTATTTGACATAGGGTCAACAGTACTCAAAACCATTCCTCTTTCATTCCAACATCTGGATGTTGGCACATCCCATCCAGGATCAACCTTTGATCATCATATTCAAATTCCATATCATCCAACATCAACACATTCTCTCCCTCTCAAACATAAAGGTAAAAATCGTTCCAGATAGTCTAATCCTGTTAAAACATTGCACTTCTTTTTTTTTCCTGGCTGAGATTGAAAAGGAAAACATTCCTCCCATGTTTTCTGAATAGAGCCAGTATTGCTAAATCTTTTTCCAACCAAGCCTATTATGGAACACTCTGACCAAAATATAGATCCTCTCAAATCACAGCATGATTCATCACAACTCAAAGAGAATCAAGATGACAGAGGTAAATGACAATATTTTTTAAGAAACATTTGAATGATGGGCTTATGATCAAATCAATCAAATTGTCTTTGATTTGAAAAATAACTTGATAGTGTTGTTTGCTAGTTGGCTTAACTATGATTCTCAAGGTCATACCTCTCATTCAAAATCACAGGATGGTCTTCAAATGGAAGCAGGTGAGTTTAGATTCTCCCTTTTTTGACAAAACTTCATTCTGCTGTGTTCAATTCTGTGTCACCACTAATAATTTGAAATTTTTGTTCAAAAAAGTGAAAGAAGAATATTTCAATCACAAAGATAGAAACATATTTAGGGATCAAACCGCTGATCAGGGGGATCAGTTGGATTTTGGGTATGATAAAAAAAGTATAAATGTTTCCTTAGAAATGAATGTAATAAATAAGCATACACCCCAGATGAATACCCAAACAGAGAAAATGATCACAAGCTCACATGGAAATAAGGAGAAAAATTACAGACACCAAAAGGAAAATCCAGTGATCCCAGAAGTAAACCTTGAAGTGTGGGCAAATAATGTCAAGTTACCAATTGAAATCATTGGTGATAAAAAAATATTTTGGGAGTACACCAAGAAGTTTTCCAAACAACTTAGATTTATATTCTATGACAAAACCTGCACTGGAAGCCAATCTAACATATATTCAGGAAAGCTACCGGTCAAGATAATTTGGTGCAAAGCAAAGAATTCTTATTTCACCAGGGTTTCCAATCATCCTCAAGGATCTGAAATTGAAGAGGAAATCAGGCCTTCTCAAGGTGCAATGTCCTTATACAAAAAGTTGGAAAAAGTGATCAAATGGATTATTGTCATCAATCAATCAGTCATGATGGCTTTGAAACCAGAATCAAACAGCTATGAAGAAAATCACAAATCTCATCACAAAATTGTAGATTGGATTTATGAAGAGGCTTTCCATCCTGCAAAAGACAAAAGTTTTCCTATCCTTGGGATGATTGAGGATATTGAACAGCTTCCAAGGGGGGGAGAGTTTGGTAAAGTTCAAGAAATTTTACTGGAGTATCTTGCAAGGAAGACAGCGATAAATGAACCATTTCAAACTTCTCTACTTCTAACACAAATCTTTTATGAAGATTTTGAAACTGAAGTTAAGGACTGGATTTGTAATCACATTAACATGAATGAAAACTTCAGGCATCTATTGATTAGATTAACTGCAAGTTCAATTGAATCAAGAGCAGTAATGTTTAAACCAGTTGAGAATGGAAAAAAGGATGATGCATTGATTGAAAGCAAAAAATTTGCACATTTTCCATTGGAAAAATTTCCAGAAATATTGAAACCTAGCAGGTATGAGATCTGTTATAAAGTAAAACTTGATCCAGAAGAGGAAGAAATATTGGAAAGTTTTGAGCAGATTTCATCAAGCAGATATTTCAACAGAAGAAGCTGTTTCAATAGGAAAGAAGCTGAAAACCTACCAGTTGAACTGAGAAATCTCAGGTATAATGAATGGGAGGGTTTGAAAGGACACTTGTGGGTTCTCTTAGATAATGGAGAAAGACCCCAGGGAAGGCAATTTCAATGGAAATTGAATTGCTTGATAGTTCATTTGAAAGCATGCCTTCTAATTTTGGGAGGAAGCATTCAATCCAACGATTTGAATTTCAAAGAATCATTAGATAAGAAACAAATCCTTAACTGGTTGCATGGTTTATTGGTTAAGAAGCAAAGCACCAAGATACCAATTTTTGGAGAGTTTGAGCTGAAAGATAGAGATAGCTTTGATCACAAACCCCTTGATTTTTCAGACTTTGATGAAGCTCAAATAGTTCTAATGTATTATTTTAGTGAGTCAAATTCACATTCAAGTGTTGTTTTGTTAGCTCTTTATTTGATTGGGTATTGGTA